ACAAGATGATGACAAATTAGTCTAGAAAGCTCCTGTTATACAGGACAGGAGCTTTCAGACTAATTTGCATCATCTTGTCTTGACTTGTCTGACTTTTGTTCCTTTTTCGACTTCCAAAAATTTGTCTTCACTTTATTTGCATATCAATCAACAGGTTGTGTATATAAACCTGCTTTCCCCTCTGGTCTCTCAGTCACTGACGAAAGCTAGTGGATACTAGCTGAAACGTCTGACGTTTTCAAAATCATATCCAGTTGCTTGAGTAACTGTTTTTTGGCTATCGTATTACCTGGATGTCTAACCTTCATCGAAGTATACTAGTAGTTTGTGAGGCTTTTTGGCAAAGTTATTTTGTACATTCTGTGAAAGGTTCTTTCTGATTGTTCTACTAATGTTGATTTTTGGCAGCTGAGGTTGGCTGGTTTCTCCACAACTCCCTGGGCCTCCCCACAGACATGGTAGAGTCCATGGTGAGTAACAGGGGCTTCAGGATGGACATGGAACAGTACAGCAGGATAGAGAGGGAAGCCCTGCAGGTAACCTCCTTTTGTCTTTTTCATGTTTTTCTCATATCTATCCTCCTCCCTTTGTTCCTTCCTTCAGACCACAGTCTTAAAATCTGAATGGCGCTTCTTTCCTTTCCTCTCCTACAGAATCCAAAACTGCCCCAAGATTGAGAAATTATGTTTTCGTTCCCAGAAAAAAACGCAGGGTCTGCAGATCGCTCAGGTGCCCACCCTTGATGCCCACAGTCTTCAGCAGCTACAAGCCTTAGGAGTGCCCCCTACTGACAACTCACTGAAGTACAAGTACAGGCTCACAGACTCAGGAAAATATGGTCAGTACTGTAAGCATGTCTGTCATCTAATGCTTTGATAAAATACTAGCATGCCAGATATTCCATTATTCATTTTTCAGTATAACTGAAGATACTGATTTTTTAAATCTCTAATCAGTTACGGTAGATGCCCTTGTTTAACATGAAATTATTTTTGGCTTGTCTGTTTCTGTGAGTGAGGTGAAATCTATTTATTTATTCAAAGTCTGAAACCTGGTATATCTGATTGCTTTGTTTGTTTGTTTTTCCCAGAGTTCCCCTCCCCAGAAGGACATGTGTTGTCCCTGTATAAGGCAGGACAGCTGGTAGACAGTGTGGGGCGAGGTGATGTCTGTTCTGTCATCCTGGACAGGACATGTTTCTACCCAGAGGCAGGTGGACAGGAGAGCGACCAGGGAAACATGACCAAAAATGGGGTAAACTTTTTATCATGATTAATGCTTTTTCATTCTTATCTTTACACAAAGTTTAAAACATTATAAGTTAGGTTTAGGCTAAATTTGGGCCCACTAGTGGCTTTTTTTATAAGTGCAGGTGTCTTTTTTGTTGGTTACTATAGTATAAAACAGGATAATGAATGAATATGCATGTAGGTAACTTAGGTAAAGGAAC